CGCCGCCGCCGCCGGGGGCTCCGAGCCCGCCCCGGGCCCCGCGCAGCCACCGGCGGCCTCTCGGCGGGAGCGGGGCTTGGCGGTGAACGGGACACGGCCGGCCGCCCCCACGTACCTGCGTGGGGTTTCTTTTGCGTGCGTGTTTTTAGCATCATCCTCAGCCTTGTAAAACTGAGTAAATCCTGCGGCTGGGGGGCTCAGCATCATTTCACCTCGCCCCACAAATACTTTATAAAATAACTAAAAATATACRTAACAAAATAATGTAACTATAAAATAATATATTTATGGAATAATAATAATACCTAAGATGAAAGCTTACCTGAAAAACACTACCAAAAATAAATTAAAAACCCTCAAAATCCAGGTGTAACATGTACCGGTTCAGCCCTCACTAAGGCCTTTATTTGCAACGTGGAGCTCAAACTCCACGTGCTTTTAGTACCCATCTGCAAGGCCCTTCAATGGCAGTATTGTGTTTGCTGTGTGCGTCTGCTGGATGGTCTGCCTTGACACCACATTTGGAAGAATAATAATTTTAATATTTGGATCCATTTGCTTACTTTTGTGGCCCCATCAATTTAACGTAATAGAAAGCAGCTCTATTTTTTAATAGGCACCTTTGCAAATTATATATATATTTTAGGCACTTTCACAAATCATGCTATGCCAATATTCATATATTTTAGATGTCAGCAATAGAGAATTGCACTGTACCTAACTCCAAGTATTCAGTGAACTACAGAGTGGAGATGTTTCACTTGAACCATTTTCAGGGGTGTTTAGATTCCCCTTGGGTAGATGTGTAGTCCTCGTCAGTACAAGGAGCGATACAGAAGCCARATGTGCTGCTAGTTGGGATATTGCCACAACAACAGACCAGCGGAGACTTCCAGCACAGTGTAAACTGGGTGAATTTCCCCATTCCAAGCAAAACCAGCAATATTTGCAGGACAGCGGGTTTGATTGCCACAACAGAGTCTGTATTCGGGGTTTCTGAGCAAATAGCTGTAGTAGGCTGGGGTCACAGCTCTGACGCGGGCCAACAAGAAGYTCAGCAGAAAAGGAGACCCTTTTCAACCAAAGTTAATTCATTCAAGGCAGTTTAATTACACTGGTAACCCAATCAGCATGGGCTTAACCCTCTCCAGGAAAATCGTGAAGAAAGGTACCAAACAAGGAATGGTTTCAGTGTGCATTGCATTTGTCACACTGGCTCCCTGAAAATGTGCGCAGCCACAGTGGTAACCGCGAAAATCACCATCCTGCCCGAAAACAGGGCTGCACAGCTCCATAGGAATGTAACTGGCAGTTCTAGCTCTGCCTTTGGGTCTCTCTCGCTGTAAAAAAGTGCATAGTTACAGACCTTTTCTTGGTTAGGCATTACATAGTTTCCAGATGGATGGACGTCAGTGAAAGATTTTATCAAGACYGGGGTGATTGTTTTTGAAATATTCAGTGTTGAGCGTGAAAACACAGTATTACGTGACTTTCCTAAGAGCAATTCCGGTGCAATCATCAGCCCTGCTTGAGTTACTCACGTGACTTCCTTTTCGGAGAGTCAAGYGGGTGCCAAACTACTTGGCCAAGGTTTGCTGAACGCCGTGTGTGTCCTATGCTCAAGTTCAGAGAACAGCGGGTTGCTTCACTTTGCGACTCCTGGGAGCACCGTGAAGCTCCATACAGACTGCCCAACACCCCTTGCTTTCGTGAAAAAGGCGGCTCAGCGTAACACACAGACTGGAAGAGCTGTGTTTTGTGTGTGTGTGTATACATATATATTTGTATAAGATGTCGTATACTTCACTGCCTGTAGGACTGTTCCCCCTGAAAGGACACAAAAGCGAAGACGRCCTTTGCGAGGCCCTGCCGCCTTTGCACTGTGGCTCGATGCTCTACTTCCCAAATCACACCACAAACACGCGGCGAGGTCTGACTCTTCCCACCTCACTTCATTCCTACGCTGGCGCCATGCCGCCCCAGAGGAGGCTGCGGCGGCCTCCCCGCTGGCTCCCCGCGGCCGCGGGGGAACGCGCCGCCCTCGGCCCGCCGGCGCCCGGGCCCGCCCCGCCGCCATGTCGCCGCGGCGCCGCCTGGGCACTGTAGTTGGCGGCCCCGCTGCAGGGGGAGGCCATCCCGCGGCTTAGCATCTCCCTGAAGGACACGTGAGTCTCGCTTGTGCTCGCTGCCGCCCCGCGCTCGCTGCCGCCGCGTGGCCTCCTCCTCCTCCTCCTCCTGCTGGCGCTGCTGCCGCGGCGCCGGCGGAGGAGGGAGCGGGGAGGAGGAGGCGGCCGGGCGGCCATGTGCTCCGCGCTGCCGCCGGCGCGGGCAAAATGGCGGGGGCTGCTGCTGCTGCGGTGCTGGGGGGCATGGCGGCTTCGCCTCGCCTGCCTCTGCCGGCACGGGCAGAGGCTCCGCGCCGCCGGGCCGGGCCGGGCGGCGGAGCGAGGTCGCCCTGTGCGGGAGCCGCGGAGCTGCCGCCGCGCTCCCCGAGGGACACGGTCGCGTGGAGGCGGCACCCCCCCTCTCCCACCCCTGCCATTCCCCGCCCAACGGTCGCCCGCTGTCCGTTAACTGCCCGCCTCGTGTCCCACCGGCCTCAGGGGAGCTGCTTTTTTTTTTTTTTTT